GTGCCCCAATCCATCTCTCACAACTAAGGACTCGATCTGCCCTGCCCCCACCATGGTCCTTTCCCCACAGACCTACCTGCTGGGAGAACACGCCCCCAAATAATTTTTTCTCCCTCTGCCTCAATCTGCCCACCCCCACCCACCCCTTCCCACAGACTGCCCAGCAGGGCTGGGTGTAGATCTCGACTTTAATTCAGAAAGTGATCTCCTACCCAAAAAGGTTGGAAACTACTGCTTTAACCACTGTAGCTCAGCTTTTCAGCTCAGCCTTTACCACTGTTTAGTACCAGTTCAAAGAACATGTGTGGCACTTGTGATGCTCTGGAAGCACTGAACATTCGAAGATTAATGTAACATTTTTTTAAGTGCTATATGAATAGTTGTGTTCCTGGTCCAGTGACTGTTTCCTGTCTAAACTGCAGTCCATGTGGGTAATCAGTTGAATTCACTAATACAGTTGTGACAAGTCTGTGGAAGTATCAGCCATGGTGGGGAAACAACATTTATTGTGTTTAGGTTTCACAGATCCGGACAACAAAGGAGGAAGCTGTTTAAATAATCAGCTCTTTTTATACATGCAGATCAGATACAAAAAAAAAAAAAAAAAAAAAAGGGACAAAAACTTGAGTATTGTACCTGCCAGGTCTCAGTCCCAACATATAAGATAGGTAGGTACCTGGATAAGTGTGTTTGTCATCTATATACAGCTCTATGATACATTTTCTCTTTAATGGTTTTGTCTAACTGAACAGTACCAGGCTTTGTGAAAGCTGGCTGGCCCCCAGCTGACTTGATTACTGCCCCTGAGGGATATTGGAGCAGTCGGTACAAAACCAAACTCAGACCTGCAGAGGTGATCACAGGGGAATGCAACCTAAAACTCCTGTCTAGAGGGAGAGGAATGTTTATCCCCATACCAAGAAGCGTCACGTCTAGTAGCCATTATATGGGTGCCCTTAAGGAGGCCAGGAAGAGCAATGGAGTAATTAACCCCAAAACTGTGATGCCTACCACTATGTTACTATCTTAGGAGACATCAAGAGAAGGCTGCTGTCTCAGTGAGGTGAAAGGCCTGCTGGTGACATGTATGGATCCTGTCAAACTGTTTCTGGTGACCCTAGGCTGCTGGATTCAGGGATTTACTGTAGGAATCTGACTTGGATCACTTTCTCTCACCCGGGATAGGTGCTTCTGTTCCATATGGTGCTCCTGGGAGGGGGATGAGATTTTGGGGCCATGTGCCATTAGCAGTCTTCTCCAACTCCTGCTACAGCTGCTCTGATGGCTCCCAGGCATTCCCACCAGAGTGTCTGCTGCTGCTTTGGCAGAAGTATGGGCCAGACTTTTAGAATGTTCAGGGATTTTAGCAGGCTGCCAAAAATTTCCTGAGGAACATGGGAGAACGAAAATGGTGATTTTTAATACAATTTAGTACGTCTGATTGGAATTTGTTGGGGGTGGGAAAGCACATCTGTATTCTCACAGGTTCTCCCCCATATCAAGAGCTAGGAACAAACAATGGAATTGTTAATCCTTCTCTAAGAAAAGGTTGCCAAAATCTTTTTAAATGGATCTCATTTTGACAATCTAAATATAGACGTAATTATGATCTGCTGATATGATATACTTTCAGGTTACCACCGTCTAGTACCTGTTCAAATTATAGGATCAATTCCACAAAATTTCACCTGGAGAACTACATTGATATGCACCAAGGGTTCTATTTACCGTGGTTTATAGGACTAGGACCAATGTATAGTGAATTCCTAAAGTTACAAGTAAAGCAGATTTGTATAGTTCCTGTGTATGTTGTGAACATGCTGATAACTCTGTTGCCAAAAACAAAGGTGAGATTACATCTCACATCATGGTGGGAGTGAGGAGGGAACCTAAACACAAAAACTTAATTCAGTTACCAACTGCAACCTATGTTTATGATATTTTATTGGGTGCTTCAAAGCACACTGGCTTTTCCTTCAAAGGATACACATATATAGTTCAAAAATAGTTATATTTTATTCTTCAGCTGAAAATAGGTAGTTTTGGACTATCATTAGTTACTCACTCTTGCAACATTACTTGGGGAGGAGACAGTGAAGTCATCAATGGAGGTGACATTTGTTCAGGATAGAAGTCAGTCCTAGGTGACTGGGTTCCTGGTTCTACTTTAATAGTTTTCTTTAATAGAGGTTTTTCATAAGATTCAATTACAGGCACTAGAAAAAAAGAAAGATCAAGTATGTAAAGAGCTATACAAGTTAAATGATATAGGCAACATCTAGATCTGAAAATGTAAAAATTGACCAGCTCAAGTCTTGTATACAACTTGCATTAAAATAAGACTTCTAGTTTTTGGTCTGCTTCCTGATGAATTTGAATTCAACACAAATCTCTTATCTTGACTAGGTGTAATCTGGATTGCCTCTTTTAGGATCAACAGATATATATAGGTATAAATAAGTGCAGAGTCTAACCCATAAAGTCTAGCCAGAATTTGCATAGCAAATACTCCACATTTTATAATAAGAATTACTGTCCTGATTTTTCATTTCCCAAAATGAAAATCACTTACCCAAAATAATACTTGGATATACACTTATTTGACATAAAAGAGAATCAGAACAGCAGCACCACCTACCTGGTACACTACTTGGATTCTCCAATTCATCAGCAAGAACTGTAGGCATCATTAGAGGTTGTTGGAGATGAGGAGTATACATGAAGGGAACAGGCTGGACCACAAGTGGCTGTATAACTGGGAGTATTCCAGGGCTTCTAAGTCCATGGCGTGAAAGAGCCGCCATAACTGGAGGGATTGTTAATGGTAAGGGAAATGGCTGTACTCCAGGAGGTGGTGGTGTGAATTTTTTCATAGGTGGGCTGGGTGAGGACAGAGTTAGTCCAGGCGAAGCTCTTCTGTGTACAGTCTGAAATTTTAGTGGGGAAGGAGAACTTCCAGCTGAAGGTGGTGAGCTTCGTTTGTTCACTGTTAGATCTACTGGCTCCATCTGGATTCCATTAGATAGTCCTTCTGGGGTTGAATAGAATTTATTGTGCAACATAGTTGGTGTAGAATAAATGACGCTGTATTTGTTTGGCTTAATTTGATCCATGTAATTGGATGGGTATGACTGGGGAAACAAGGAGAGAGAAGAGGAGAATTAAAATAGAAACCATACGTTCTAAAAAATTCTAGTGCTAAAATTACTGATGGCTGGTCAAGTGAGGCAAACTAATAATAAAAAAGGCAAAGGCATACTACATTCATGTATTCCTTTTTTTCTTAGAGGGAGAGCAATTCAAGTCTGATTCTCTAATCATCTGGAAATCAGTAATCAGCATGCAACAAAAGAGAAAGAAGTACAGTATATAGATCCTCCAGATTTATTTAATTATTAAGACGTTTTATCTAAGAAAAAGTGCTTTACAAACATGTAGTAAACTTTCATCCATCCTGTATTATAAACAAGATAAGGAAAGTAGGATTATGCTAGATTGCTACAGAGATAGTTTCATAGTTTCTAGGGTCGGAAGGGACCTGAGCAGATCATCTAGTCCGACCCCCTGCCATGGCAGGAAAGAGCACTGGGGTCAAACGACCCCAGCAAGGTGTTCATCTAACCTCCTCTTAAAAATCCCCAGGGTAGGAGCCTGCACCACTTCTCTTGGAAGTTGGTTCCAGACCCTAGCCGCCCTGACCGTGAAGTAGCGCCTCCTGATATCTAGCCTAAACCTACCCTCTGCCAGCTTGTGACCGTTATTCCTGGTCACTCCTGGCGGTGCTCGGGGGAACAGTGACTCCCCCAATGCCTGCTGATTCCCCCTGGACTAGTTTATAACAGGCCAGAAGATCCCCCCTCAGCCTTCTCTTTTGGAGGCTGAAA